TGCCATCTGACCATGTGAATGGAGCATTGTGTCATCGAAAGTGAAGAAAAATAATTGAGTAAAATCTCGGAACTTAAACGGCAATTCAACGCTGAGCGCGCCGATGTCATTTGCCAAGGCTCATTTAAACTATTATTTAATAATGACACCACAGTTCGTCTATGGATCATAGTACCCATGGAGCAGAAAAAAATGTAAAATTTTAAAGAAGCATACTAACACTAGCAAGAGTGTCATCCACTGCAATCTACGACACACCTCGATGTTGGCGCACAGATGCGAGTCCGCAACCACGAAAAATGAACAAACCCAAATGTTGGGGGTCCCACACTGAGAAACATCAACGGCAGGCATCGTACCTCGGCTCATACGAATAGAGGAAGACAATTAATATGCAGGAAACAGGAAAGTAACGATTCCCAGACAACCATTTATTTTTGCTGCTGGCTGCCGGTCCCGTATAGTATACTTAATTTTTTACTCCATCTACCAATGCGACAGCAAAACGAAAAAACAATACGCCCTTTGACGAATTCTCGCGCTTTGTATATCCCCATGGACGCTAGAAATCCCTGCATTCCCAGCAGCAAGCGCGAGGCAACGCAGTGAGCGATGCCAGCGCCCTCTTGCGAGCAACAAGCCAACTCTTGTCTATTTGTTCATCCATAAGTTGGCGAGACGAGAGTAAAACTGCGATGAGTCGTGAAAGTTCCTTCCCCTCCTTTTCGTGAGTCAGATTTGCAAATTCATTACTAAAAGGCGCATCCTCGCATGATGAGGAAAAGTTCTGTCGAAACCCCGACTTCATTTCACTAAGCGTATGGCCTGTATAGCTGTCGCACACCCAAACACAAACAGAAACACACACACACAAATACCCAATCGTCACTCGACCTGGCTAGCAGCCAGAATCGCGCACGCTATATGTTTGACTCCCAGACCGAGGTCCTCCGATTTGAAAAAAAATTGTTTCAAGCTTTCAGATCATCTCCCAAATGTTCATTAAGCTTCCCGTACATGTACATATCGACGTCTCCTGTGCTGTTCCGATTTTGCGCCAAATGCTTCATCACATACTCCGTGAAATGGACGAAAAATTTGGCAAATTCAGGGAATCTCTCTCGTAGATGCTACGTAGGTCGTTAATATTTACTCCATCTCGAAGATTTCCTAAAAAAAAACTCATGAGGGCATCAAGTCTTCCCGTTTTTGTTCATGCCAATGTTTTCAGACTGGGCATGTGAAGACTTGCATCGAAAATGAATGCGTCATCACCAGTAGACGAGTCCAACCGCACCCAGTGACGTCATCGGATTCATTCGATAGATAGAGCGTGATGAAAGAAAAGCGTTCGCAAACTCCATCCGACCGGTGAGAGAGGTCAAGGTCAAGGGCGAGGTCAAGAGCTTTATTGTAAAATAATTTGAGTGTCTCCTGGCGTCATCCAGGAAAAATTGCCTTCAAGACGAAAATATAGCTTTTTCTTTCCATTGTGCTTATTCCGGGTCGTTTTTGAGTGGTCTGAGAAATCAGCTTGCCAAAGTGGGAATTTATACACCATCAGGATTCATTTGGGGAATTCATTTTTATTTGACAGTATCACCATGGTTGGCCTTGAATTCGAGTAGTTCATGAAGCCAATTTTTTCACTGAAATTCCCAGTCTCGTGCCCAGGGCCATCACCACTTTGCTATGCGAGATCTTCATGTTTTTATTTTCCAAAAAGAGCGGTGCTGTATATTTTTTTTTGCTCGCGAAAATTCAGAAAATGATATGACTGAAAGTTTCTCCCATATGAGAGATAAATTTTCGGATACCTGAGAATGGGTATGCCACTTTCAATGCTCAACATTCAGTCATTGGCCTGCTTCTCGGCATAAATCTGAACTGACGCAGGCAGTAAAATGCTTACCCTTCGACAATATTGAGCTGAGTTTCGGACTTCTGAAGGGAAGGAAGTTGCGAAGGAGTTTAGCCTGGTGATGGTTCTTAAGTGGTCGTGAAAGTCAGTATCCTTTTTCTCCATTCACAAGGAACAGGTCTGAAAAATCCACTGGATGCATCTGTATATAGCCAGGCAGGAAGTTCCCGTACTCGCACCAGAAAAACTAATGGCTGGAATGCGAGGTATCGAGTCGAGGTCTGAGTCGAGGTGCATTCTGTGCGTACTTTGTGATACCCTGATCCGAACCTTCCACGTCGAGTGGATCAGTGTCATATGTTGTTGACTCGTCACGCCTCGCTCGAACAGGGAGCCCGAGGACTGCGACGTTCGCTTGCCTAAACATTGAAGCCTGAACACGAAAACAACTCGACTGCGGCCCTGGATCCAGTCCCCGTGATGCTGTCATCTCGTTAGTGTCGAGGTGAAGCGAATATTTCAATAGGTCAGTTCATCGCATCCGCAAAATCCTTCGACAGTACGTTCTTTGCTGTACTTCATACTAGTTGTAACCCGGAAAGACTGTCCTGTCCTAGTCCTTGTAGTAAAAGGAATATCACGAATAATGCGCTAATAATCAAAGTAATTAAGCTGATTGATTCTGATCTAATGTGAAGTTGGAGGTAGCTATCAGGAAACTTATGAATACTGCTACAAAGTAGCCAGGTAACAACTAACTCACGACTTAGCTGACAGAAGCTCGAGAGTATCCGCCAACACGTCCTCACGCTACGAACGCTCGACCAAGACTGGATTGATTGCAGGTTGATTGCCAGCGATAAGGATATGGCCAACATACTTAACGAGTTCTTTGCTTCCGTTTTCACTGTGGAATCCGACTCGGCACAGACTTTGGAGGAGGTGACCTCGGCGCGTATCGCGGATATTTCCATCACCGAGGAGACGATCGAGAACATGATAGGGAAGTTTAAGGTCGGCAAGGCGACCGGCCCCGATGGGATTCCTGCGAGAGTCATTAAGGAAACCACGAGAGAATTATCGGTTCCGCTAAGAATTATATTCGATAGCAGCTTTTCGCGCGGGGAGGTACCTCAGGACTGGAGACTAGCAAACGTCGTACCGATCTTTAAGAATGGCGAAAAGAGTAATCCAGGAAATTACAGGCCGGTAAGTCTCACGAGTATCCCAGTGAAGATCATGGAGAGCATACTAAGGGACCATCTCTTGGATTTCCTCGAAGGAAACGCACTCATTCGGGACTCTCAACACGGCGTTTGGAGGCGTCGAAATTGTCTCACCAATTTGCTCGAATTCTACGACTGGGCGAAGGAAGAGAGGGATGAAGGAAATCCCGTGGACATCGTCTATTTAGATTTCGCGAAAGCTTTCGATACCGTTCCTCACAAGAGGTTGCGCGTTAAACTGGAGGCGCACGGGATCCAGGGTAGGACGAGCGAGTGGCTCAGTAGTTGGTTGGCAGGACGAGAGCAACGAGTGATGATAAATGGGGAAGCGTCGAAGGAGGTCGGAGTCGCAAGCGGTGTCCCTCAGGGCTCGGTCTTTCGACCGCTTCTGTTTTTGGTCTCCATAAACGATTTCGATCTCGGCGTAGAGGGTAAGAGAAGTAAATTTGCCGATGACACCAAGATAGGTTTTACCATGAGGGGGGAGGCGGAAAGAGCTGGAGCCGAGCGAGATTTAAGTCTTTTGGACGAGTGGAGCAAGAAATGGCTCATGAGGTTTAATAAAAGTAAGTGTAAAGTTCTCCACGTCGGTCGAAACGACAGTAGGTCTCTCGACAAGTTATGCGATGTTAAATTGGATGAGGCAAACGGCGAGAGAGACTTAGGAGTTTCAATCGATGAGTACCTTACGTTTCTCTCCCGCGCGCAAGCGACTGTGGCCAATTGCAACAGGATTCTAGGTTAAATTCGTCGGTCGGTTGCAAGTAGGACATCTCGCGTTATTCTTCCGTTGTATGCGGCGCTGATGAGACCCCATTTGGAATATTGCATCCAATTTTGGAGACCTACAAATAAAGGCGATTTATTGGCGTTCGAGGGAGTACAGAGGAGGGCCACTAGAATGATTAAGGAGGTCAGGGGACTATCATACGAGAAGCGTTTAGAAGTGTTGGGACTGTACTCGCTCGAACGAAGGTTAAGGAGGGGCGATCTCATCCAGGCTTTCAAGATAATTAAAGGAATAGATCATGTCGAGTGTGGTAGGTTTTTCCAGTCTGATGACAGCAAGAGAACGAGAGGTAACCGACTTAAGTTGCGCAAACCGCAGGTACGGCTCAGGTCGAGACAGGAATTGTTTACTTACAGAGTGGTGAACGCGTGGAATGCGTTAGATGACGAAGTAGTGGCTGCCGCTTCTGTGACTATCTTTATGAAGAAACTAGATGCTTTCATGGACAGGCAAAAATGTTGGGGGCAATCTTGACGTTAGGTAGTAGGCAGTGAGCAACTAGGATAGTGAAATAATAAAAGAAAAAACAACAACAATACAAAAATATTTAGCTTTAAGATAGTTAGGCCCACCCTAAAATTAAGGAACGCTCGACCTCGACACGTGATATCGAAATGGGCGAAATCGCCTCTTGATATCACTAACTTTCCTGATTCCTGAGTACGTTCTGCATGTATCCGATCGTCCCTCTTTACTACCGATACTCGTGATACGGATCGGGTTTGATGGAGCCCTTGAAATCAATTTAGATTATTCACCACAATACAGTTCATCATGTACTCTTGCGAATGATATCGTTCATCGTCTCTATATTTCTGGCGATTCAACATTGAATATTCAGTACGACACAAGTATTTCATTGGTGTGAACCAAAGCAGGAATGAATAGTTGGAAGAACAATTTGAAACGGTTGCAAATACATTTACATTTTGAAGCATTCAAGGTGAATGAGGTCAATGCGTGTGTCACCTAAATATTGCTGACGAAAGAGTGCGACTTTCGCTGGCTATACGGAATAGTGGAAGGCCATTCGCATTTCGCTGCGTCCTGTCTTGCAGAGATCCTTCATCCTTCTTCCTTTCATCACTCCCCTTCAATTATCATAATTTCCACTGTATAAGCAATGCCGGTGTGTCGATGGAATTTCGCTCCATTACTCGGCAGGGTCCGACTCATCTTCCAGAAGAGCATGCCCAAGAGTGACACGCACCAGCTGTTGCACACATATATCCTAGCGAGATATCAAACGTAATGATGACTGTCATAACTGAGTTACTTTGTCTATGAACACGACTAATCTACCTTCTGAATCGTTTCATCGATCTTGAGATGAAATCGTTCATAATCCCGTTGCAGATATTCCTACAACTTCATTCCACTTATTTATTCTCTGCCAACTTTCTAAATGTCTTAATTTCAGGTTCTGAGGAAACAAGCCAAGAAAGTTGTGAACCAATATGAGGGGAATTCCACGTCTCTTTTTGTCTGCACTCATTCTACTTATCAAGAACAGGTCTGGAGAAGTAAGTCAACTTATCACATTCCTACTTACTTAATTTTTATGGGGAAAAGGTCACTGAAAACAAGTGGTAGTCTGCATCATTACCTACGTATATTTATTACTCCCTTGGACATCAGTAATCGTGCACCAGGAATATAAGGCACGTATAAGTCTAACGAAAATCCTGCTTCAAAATAATTCACAAGGAAAGGATTACATCGTGACATTAGTCAGGGCACAATAAAACTTTTCTGCGCAGTGTTTAACATTGTTGAATGACACGTTCCCATGGAAATCAATTGATTTTTATTTTCTCCCGTTTAAACGTGCCGTCTTCCAAGAAACCACTGCTAGGTATTATCAATATATTAAAGATGTGTCGTTGCCAACTGTGGGATAGACGAATAGAGTCATGCTTGCTACCAACAAAGGTACTCACCCGCCCCATCTTCGCTGTGGTTCAATAAGTCCTCACTAGTCCCCAATAGCAACAAATTGAATGTTTTCCATGTTCAGGTTTCTTTCGGTACTCCCACTCATGGAATTGCGGCTTACCAATAAATTATAGTTTTATATATGTATGTACACTACCGGCAAAATAAATAGGAATATCCAGAACGAGCGATGCCACTAAACTTTGGTCACTTATTAGGAGCATTGAGGCATGCACATGATGAATGACTCTCCGATATCTGGCATCCCGGTGGCGCGATACAATCAAGCGACGGCCTTGTGATATGGAAGGCCTAACACCTGAAGATTCGTTTGGCACGTGTGTGGGACGTACAGGGTACTAACTGTGGTACGGTCAAATGATGTTATCACGTTTTTAGGATGCCAGGCATCGAAAAGTGATGAAAAATCCTACTAGCATGGGAATTTCTGCTTTTTCGGCCTGTCCACGATGTTCCAAATACGAATGGGAGTAGATGATGGAGGCATGTAAGGACTGCTTGGAAAATGTTACCGTCAGAATTTAGCACGCTTGGATATTTTTCCTTCTCATTGGCAAAATGAAGGAACAGGTATGGTTACTGATGATTGCTCTTTTCCTTCTCGACGTATATTAGCAATTATTCGTGTGCTGTAACAGGAAACCACTCTTGCTATAGCAATACATTCTGTCATTCTTCTATTTCCCAGGCAGCAGCAGGCACTTCTCTCCGTGGACTGGGAAATTTCGGCTCCAGTTTGGAGGATACAGTCTTATTTCTGAGTTTAAAATCGCAGGAGCACGCTAAGAAATTTGCGCAATTGAAGGATGACTATGAGCAAATGCGGAATGATAAGGAAAGCCTAAGGGAAGACTACAAGAAATTGGAGCAAGGCTACGAGAGTATGAGGCAGGCCAATGAAAACCTCAGCAGTAACTGCGAGAAGCTCAGCAGTAACTTCGACAACATGAGAAAAGAAAAGGAAAACCTCAAATCCAGTCTACAGGAATCAATACGTGAGAGTGAGAAATTGAAACTTCAATTAAGCACCATGGAAGGAAGACTCCAATACCTCGAGGCAATCAACCTGCAAATAAGTGAGTTTGAAAATACAATTAAATATTCACGTAACCCCATTCTTGAACAAAGTATGCCATCTGCACATGGTATTTTTGTTTCGGTGCTTCCTGCGATCAAATACTTAATTACGGACGCTATTTGATAGTCGACGCCATCTCAGAACAATTGCGTAGAACAATTGCAGAGACAGCGGTTACAGTCGCAGTTCAGCAGATCGCATATCCCACGCAATGACATTTCAAAATGTGGATACCCGAACTGCAGTATCTTTATCATATTATAAGCCCTCTTTCTAAAGCGGGTATGAACTCCAAATTCAGAATGGGAATGTCTGATACATCTTACGCAGCGCCCCGAACGTGCCAGACGATTGCAGACCTGGGTGTGAAGCGGACAGGAAAATACTTTGTTGATCCGGACGGGGTTCTGTTTGGCAATGCCCCCATTCAAGTACTCTGTGACATGGAGACAGGTCGGTGGAGTAAACAATCATTCCAGCATTCTCGATGACTTGAATGCTATTTTTAATTCAGAACTCCACATGCCCTCTCAACTATGTTTCGTCTAGATCCTGTATCCACGATCGTCCTCCATGATTCGATGGGAAGCACTGTGATAGATAATTGTGCTGATCCGGGTTGCTACAGTCGCCGCATTAATTACGGTTCTCCCATCAAACAAATGACAGCCTTGATCGACCAGTCGGATTCATGTGAACAGCAAATAAGAGTGAGTCGAATTTGCTCCCGTAGATTCACAATATAGATGAGCTTTAAGCAGGAAATAACCAAACTCCGATTTACCATGAGTTATGTTTTTTTTTATCTTCCTAGGACACGTATTTAAAAATATAGAACCTATTGTTGCCAATCCAGACTACGCATAGTGTGCTCATCTTCTTTCAGTACGACTGCTTCTCGGCGGCTCTGATTACTGGAGACACGCAGTATGGATGGTGGGTGGACCGTCACGGTCAACGCCAGTATTACTGGCATGGATCAAGATCTGGAGAGCACGTGTGCAAATGTGGTATCTCTCGCGACTGCATCGACTCCTCTCTCCCTTGCAATTGCGATGCAGGGGCACCCCAATGGGAATCGGACGTGGGAGCCATCACTAACAAAACAGCACTGCCCGTAACTGAACTTCGCTTTGGAGGATTACGATTCGGAAGCCAGAAGGCGAATTACACTCTTGGAGGATTGACTTGCAGGAGCAAATCTTCATCCGCTTCCAATCCGGCAGAGCATGCTCGTCTCTCCGCCGAACTGGACATACTCACTCGGGTTATAACCTGATCAACACCAAATAAGGGCAGTACGATATAGTGATATGTAAGATGGATTTAGTTGATACCGACCCGAAGTTTCAGATGGAGACAAGAGCCCTTTTTTTGGATGAGGAGCTCATGGCAATGCTTGTTAATCTTTAGGAATTGCAAACAGAATGCTTCGCTTCATCGGAAAAAAGGTCAACGAAAGGTGGGCAATGGATCCATCCCAGCAGTTGAGTTTTTACGGCACCCATGGATAGCATTCGTGCCTTTCATTTGCACACTTGGACTTACAAGACTCGTACACCTTTGAAAATGGGAAAAAATGCAATCGGGAAAGCATTAATAAACTCTGATGGCCGTAAGGTGGAGAGACCAGGTCAATCAACTCTGCTGTATATTATTAATGGAGACAAATTCGATGTCTTCTTCTAGAAGGATATCACGATCTTGCACCGTCACGTTTCGTGGGCTATCACATATATATCCCATGTGAAATCGCAAATGGATAAACACTCTCCAATATTAACGATTTACTGTCTCCTTTGGCTCATTTCTATGGCATCCATACCCTAGCTTCAGGTGGACTCCCGTGCTCGTATTACGGGGCAAGGAACCTCTTTCGATGAAGTGAAACATTTGAAAGTACAGGCAACTTACTCAAGTTGAAGAGAACTGAGGGCAACGTATGCATTGCAATGAATCCGACCAGTTGAATTTTCCCGAAACCTTTTAAGGGTATTTGTGTCTGTCATTTCCATGTTAGTTTCATTCCCTCTGTTTGACAGTATTTTTCCGACTTTACCCATCGGAGGGCGAGGGAATGGAACAAACTTAAATTGGAACGAGCGAAGCATCCATTAATTATGATGAGGTAATGATAATTAGAGGTTGCCAACATACTTCATAAATGGGTGTCCAATAATAGATTGTAGCCAGTGTTCCATGCTCTTTACAGCCCTGGGAATATGTGCATCGCAAGCTAACGGAGCGATTTTGAATGGAGAGCATACAGAAACCTAACTTGTGCACCTAGTTTCCCCGTACAAAGGCCAGTCATTGAACTTTTTGATGGGTCCTCATATACAAGGTCATTCAAAGTAACATATACACTTTGAATCACTCTGTACCATCGATGGTAAATTTCATAACAACGTTTGATGGTGCATTTGCTGGCAAACATCATTATTTAAAATATATATTATTAAAAGTCACAAAATACCCTCAACATGCCGGATGTACTGTTGAATTTCGAGCAAAGGAAGAACATATTAATCTCGGTGTTGTCCCTCTCGATCCGGTCAGAGTGTTAGTTTCCCACAGTTCAACCTTTTGGCTTTGAATTAAAGCTGCCAAATTGTTCTCCCTCACTTTCTCTTACGCGCGGACGTTTGCCAAGAAAATCGGACGGGTTATTACTTGTTGTCTGTCATGCTCACTGACTAACCCATTTTTGTTCCTTCATATCTTGAGTACTTTTGTTGCGTAAATTGGTAACCTTTAGATTTCTGTAATAAATATAGATATCAAACTTGGTCGTGTGGCATTCTATTCTCACCCGTGAACAGACACGGACCATCCTCCTGGTTCAAGAAAACATATTTTCTTCTAATATATAAAGACGATCGTGACTGACTGACTGACTGACGCTAATTCTAACCATGTTCCAGAAAGGTTAGAAATCTGAAACTTGGTACACATGTACCTTTTGGGTGCAGAGTTCAGAAATAAATCCGACTTCGGAGGTACATGCCCTGGGGGAAACACATTTTGGGGGGAGACTTTTTTTTAAATATATGTTGCGATGGATAAGGATGTCACCGAGAAATACCACCGTAGGTCACCGTTTCGGTGGTGTTGTGGTAGCACATCTGACCGGTAATCGTGAGGTCCGGGTTCAAATTTCTGCTATTCCATGCCTTTTTTTGGCTTCTCTTGCCCTCCATGTCCCGTTGCTTGAATGAAACGGAGAGACATGGAAAGCTGAAACGTGGCATGGACGTGCCTACCGACAGGATGAGTTTAGGAAAAATGCAAAATTTTAGATCCATGCCCTGGGGGCATATTTTTTGGGGCCGACGTTTTCAAGTATTTTTTCTCCTGGTGTATTGAGCTAGTACGGAAAGATGAAACTTGGTACATAATTACCTACCGGAATGCTGCGTGCAGGAAAATTAATTACTAGCGAGTTTGTTTGCCCTTTTGGCTAGTAATTAATATTCGTCATGCGCAAGACGCTAGAAAACGAAATCGAGTAATAATTTGCCAGATGTCAAAAAGAAACTGTCGCAGTGACCCGTGCCGGTGAAATCACCATAAAAGCAGGTGGGTTGCCTATCGGTGGAGGAAGAGCCAGTCGCCACCCGGACTTGATCCCTCGCCTCCCGTGGTTTCACCCGAAATCTCGAAACACTCGGCCACCGAGCCCAGGTACCTTTTTGCTATTCTACTAACCAGACATGTCGAGTGTGGCGCGGGAGTTATATGGGTGCACCGTCATGGATTACATGAGTGATTGACGTGGAATGTTATCGAAGAGAAGAGTGAAGGAAAGTGGAGAATGCATAAAAACTAGGGGGGAGCCATAAGAGGGTTGGAATTCTCAGCGCAGCGGAGCACACCTATGCAATACGAATGCACTCTCAAAACATCCATTTCACAAATCCAAATGACTCGCAAAGGTCTAGCCATTACCTTCTGAGCTATCACGGTGGTAGGTTACTCTCTCGCTCCATTTACTATTAATTTCATTTCATCGGCTTCCTATTGAAGAAGTAGATGCACACTGACTCTATGCAGTGGTTTTCTTTGGTATTTCTTTGACTTTTCCAATCATCAATTTCCAATTATCAATATTTTCCAATTAATAACATCTTAGTTGGACTCAGAAAAATGGGGAAAAGCTGTGGTCGTGCATGTTTCGTGTGCCAAAATGCACGACGCAACTCTCGCGAGAAGGAAATATCTTTCCATAATTTCTGCGTTGCAGGACTTTTTCAGCATCAGAATTAGGAATCAAGGAGCAGAAGACGTTCTGAGGGAGAAAATAACCAATATGAATAAGTTTCACTCTCAGGTGTAGGAACTGTTGTAGGAATAGTAGTTGTGGGATCTGTGTAGGTACATGTGCAGAGTTTCAGATAGCTGCAATTTGCGGAACTTGAATGATCAAATGCTCCTCATCAACCATCTCTGAGAAAATAGGAAATCAATTACTTTCTTGCTGACCTCTGGGTCATTATATTCGTCCCTTTAAAAACCTTTTGCCCTCCTCTCCTCTTCTCTATACAATCAATCTAACAAATTTGTAAGCAATAGTGTTTTAACATATTTGCAGATACTAGATAGTCGGGGAGGGAAAAAAAAGAAGCGGAAAATGTGTAGCAGGGCAGACCGTTTCGCACTGACACTTGCAGTCGTCGTTTTTGGATGGCTACGGTCGGCTCTTACAATGAGGGAAAATCCGGCTGCGCGCAAGGAGCATAGCTCCTTTGACTAGCTTCTCTCGTCCCAGCTTGTGGGCATACCTCCTCTCCTCCGCACTTCCTATTCGCTCCACGAACCTTGACTCATAAAAACGGTTCGAGCGAAAGCGAAGGAGTCGGTTTGCGCGAGAGTGGAGACGGGGTGTGCGCGAGAGAAAAGGTAACGCCGTAAACTTTCCTCATTCGTATTTCTTCAATTCATTGAAGAAATACGAAAATGATCAATTTCCCTCTTCTTTTTCGATGAATTTTCCAAATAGGGATCTCTCCAAAAGCGCTGGGCTTGTTTCGGTGCAACTCGATAACTTTTGGAAGTATCCCCCCTTTGGAAGTTTCAGTGCGAGTTCTCACATGCGATGCCGACTCACTCCTGACACCTCAACGCATTGGTCCCAGTTGACTAGAGAGCGTCTGTCTTCGAAGCGGCAGCTTTTAATAGTCCATTAAGTATGGAGTATATGGGAGCAATGTCCCGCCCCAAAATGTCTAAAATAACGTGATGATTGATAGATTCATAGCCTGTCGTCGCTGTGGATCAGCTGAGGAACGGCTTGAAATGTTTCCTCCTAATCCTAAGTATAGTGTGTATATGGCACTAGCAATTTCGCAAAGGGTAGAAATTCAACGAATGTGAAAAACGCATTGGAAGAACATCGACAAGCTAGAGAGAAGGAAAATTTGCAGGTCAATGTAACTATTTCGAACAAACTGGATTGAACTGAAACCTAACATCAGTACGTAGTTTTCTCATTTAAAGACCTCTCCTGGAACATATTCAAAGGCCCATGTGCAATGATTTTCCCACGAATGTAAATCGCATATTTTCAACTTCACAGTCCGTAAGAATGATCGGAAACGAACGAAACATTTGCTTAGAGGTGGAAAAGAGGAGGAGAAAAAGAATAGCATCCCCACAACTGCTAGGAGGAGAAAGCTATTAAGAAACAGAGAAACACAGAACCTTGCCAATTTATACTCAATTAGCAAAAGGAATCGGAATAGCGTCCAAGACAAAAATTGACCATTCCCACATTCATAGGTACCATGCCCCCTTTCCAGTTCGTATCACCTAGCAATGCATCATGTTGAAAATTCCCATTCAGGTTCGGTGCCCTTCCCTTTGTAACACCTGGGACCCGACTTCTGTAGATCCGGATTCCGACAGTAGTTGTGATGGCTGCCCATGCCTGCATCAGGAAATGCCGGCAGGTAAATATAGTAGAATGCTTATTAGGCGTTTGGCTCCGCCACGACTGGCACTTCTTCCCCGACCGTATGGCGTTCTTCAACCCGAGTACTCTCGTCCGTCACGCGTGTGTTTGCATTCCGCTGGCTCTATATGATGAAGGAATCAGGGAAAAGAAGAAGTCGATTGTATGGAAGGAGTCATAGCTTCACGATTTACCTGTTTGATGAATGAACAAACTACCTGCCCAAAAAGTTTCAACCTTAAACGTTTGCCCTTTTCGCTGCTGGAAAAACATGTTTCGAAAAGCCGACGCACCCAAAAGCCATGCCCGGAGTGGATGCACCATGAAAGCTGAATACTCCCTCAACTCAATAATACCATGTCACTTATATGTACAATATGCCAAGTTTCACCTTTCCATTTCCATTTTCCCACATTTTTCTTTAACTCCTTGTCTTAGTAGTCACATTCATGCAACGTTTCAGTGTGAATGTTCATCAGTTTAGCTGATGCAAAAAAATATTTGAAAACATCTCCCTTTGAAATGTGTGTCCCCGGGGCATTTACTTCCAAAGTCTACATTTTTTCTGCACGCAGTATCGCAAATGGTAGTTATGTACCAAATTTCATCTTTCCATGCCACCTCAATGCGCCATTGCAAAAAAAGTTACTTGAAAAACGCCGGCCCCTAAAAATATGCCCCCACAGTAAATGAATCTAACATATTAAATTTTTCCTGAACTCATCGTCTCGGTAGGCATGTCCATGCCAAGTTTCAGCTTTCCATGTCTCTACATTTTACTAAAGCAGAAATATTGTTACTGAGGGAGAATGAGTAACACCACTTGGAAAACATAAGACGCCGAGAGAAAGCCAAGGAGCGACCGGGAATTGAAACCGGGCCTCCTGATTGCCCCTCAGGTGTGCTACCACTACACCACCGAACCCGAGACATCCGGTCAACCCTCTCGATGCCATCCTAATCCGTCACAATAAAAATCTTTAAAAACTTATCCTCCAAAATATCCCCTAGGGCATGTACCTCCAACGTCGGAATTTTTCTGAAACCTGCATCCCAAAAGGTACACGTGAACCAAGTTTCAGATTTCTAACTTCTCTAGAACATGGTTAGAATTAGCGTCAGTAAGTTTGTCAGTCTGTCAGTCAGTCACGATCGTCTATATATGTTAAATAACTTTTTCATCGACTCGCGGATAATTCAATGATGAGTCTCGGTTCTGATGACCCAATTTAACCTGCGGACGTCCACTCCCGAGATATCCATTCTTCGTACCTTGTCCTGTGCTGACCAGAGATATATTTCGTTACGAATTTTTTCGTGCAAATCCAACGCCTGTCCGGAGACATCGACAGTCGCTGACGTCACATTTGAACTCCTTTGGTAGCGGCACCAGTTAGCGAACGACGGTCATGAAATGTGATTCCACCTTTTCTTCCATGGTTTCACATTCTGCAGAAATCTGCTGAAGATTTCTCCAGAAAATTGCTTGAGCCCTTAGTTTAGCGCAAGGGACGGCGTGTGTAACCACAACGACAAAAGGTCAAATCGCAAATCATGACCCGTCGTTCGCTAACAGGCTCCTGTTCGCGAACTGGTTCCGCTTCTCTATGTTCTTTTTTCAGCTGTTGAAATGTGAACACTCTGATTTTAGAAGTAAAACCATCCTCGCACTGGAATCGAGGAATTTTGCATATCAAGAAAGGACTGGAACAATGTCCCAAAATAGGATGCGAAAAGGTTCTTTAAATGCCTGCATCTGGAAAACCTTACTGGTTCAGGGTAAACGCTCTAGAATAGTAACGTATACCAGCGAACCCGTGGAAAATATCCATGAACTTCTGGTTGGCCCAGAGCAGGGGTGTCGAAATGTCAAATTGTGTCCATTCCGCGTGGTTCGTTTTACTTAAGTGCAGCCATTTTCAATCATCGAAGTGTTTGAAATTGAAAAATTGATATAGGATTTCACGAGACGGACCCAACCACCCCTAAAGGTTTCCATCCAACTTCATCAAGTTCGACACCCCAGGCATAGGCTAAGTATTTAACATATTTGAGAATTCAAGAGTTCGGTCAGCTGCCCTCCCAACTTTCCCCGCAGCAGTCGTTTGGACATCGTACGTCTTGCGTACCCCTGTGTCCTGCCCTTGTCTTGTCCTCCCCACGGGGGTGCACACACCTACGATTCAGATTTTCCCGCAGGGGCGTGTTAAACGCCCCCGCGTATAATCCTGGGAGTTCCCCTTTATCCAGTTCGAGGAAAGATGAATTCCTCGCCGGATTAACATCACCCTATATTTATCAGGATGGCCGCAACCGCTTAACAATCGGAAATCCGTCCTCGTGATGAGGGGGGGGGGGAGGAAATCCCAGTTGCATTTCAGTGGAAATGAAGAAATTCTCGACGGAACCGGAGATTAAATGATTCCATATGAAATGAACGAGTCTTATCCTTTTTTTTTTCAAAGCAATTCTTTCGATTCTCTTTCCAGGATGCTCACATTCAGATGCTCATCGCGAATCGTAACAGGAAAAAGTTAGGTTATTAGTATACGGAGGCTTGTTTTCACATGATGCAAACAAATTCGAGTTATTTTCGAAATATTTCCTAATCCGCATTATCTGTACACTAGGATTATGTTATAAGTTTCCAAGATGAACACGAGAGGGGTCATTCCTCTGGGAAGCATTAGAAAACTGTTTGGTGTGAGGGATACTTTACAGTCCTTTCCGAGAAAGGTTATCCGCGTTCTTTTATCACAGACAGATCCAAGGACAAGGGCCATATTTTCTCCAAGAGGAGAAGAAAGAATACTTTATTAGGGGGGCAATCCCATAATTCTTCCATGTAAAATGAAGTTCAGTTCTTCAATAATTACCTGCCTAGCATGCAGATGATGAAAGGAATCCTTTTGGCAAGGACCCCTGCAGAGTCCTACTTCCTCGAGGAAAGTATCGGGTCCTGTATTTAGTGCCTTTAATTGGAATGGTCGATGGTAGTTGGCATATACATAAATATGGATACAATGATTGTTGAAAGAACAGAATGGAATTATTTGCATTTCTGGATTCAGAATATTTTTTCCCCTGGGGAAAGGAATGGTGAACACTCATGATGTGGGAAAAAAAAAACTATGTTTCTAGTTTTCAAGTTCATCATCCTCTTATAGAGGGTTGATGCTTTTTACTCCCCAGCGCCAGCGGAATATTCCGAGACGAAATGAAACCTGCAGAAAATGGCATGGAACTTTGTATTTAACGTTTCATCTTCCAACCATATGCCTCTGTGGAAAATACTTAAAATATATTTTCATTCATATTCAATATTGACTTCCGTCCTATATTTAATTTTCGTTGAGGCTCTGCACTTTTCAACGTTACATTGCCAAGAAGCGTCACCTCGTACATTTAATCATTCATCAATGATGAATGATTGTGCACAAATTCACCATTAATGTATCCAATCCTTCTCGGATTACTCAAGTGGCATGGAGACATGACCTAGTCTGAAAATCAATAGGTCAAACCCACGTGGAGCTCACATTTACTCTGACGTATTTTTAGCTCAACATCTTTGGACAGGAATCCAGATTGGAATCAAGACGCCATTCTTTCTACTATTGCTAAATATGAATTTCAAAGTGAAAAAAGAAAAGAAAATATAGAAATTGGAGGTTCCTGAGTTTAGAGCATTTTTTGTCAGTGCCAAGTGGATCCACTACCTGATAATGACATCCGTTCGAATCGATGGACATGCATATAGGTTGTTCCATAAGTCAGTTTCTCTTGGAGCATCTTGCAGCTCATAATCAGCGACAATTCAACAGGCGTCAACAGCAGTCGCTGCCAAAAGCGGAGGCTAAACGCGCATCGCAGCGTCAGACAATCATTCCTTTGGGAACATCCAATGACGTGCAATAGTTGCGTCTCGCGAGGGAATGCATATGCTAGTGGATTCCTTACCCAGCCAGGGAGAGCATCGACACAAGGAAGCTTTTCCCCTTTCCATTCCCACCTGAAATCCCAATTTCTTCGTGGAGTTGAGATTCTCCAGAAGCCGAGCGCTGAAAGTTAATACCAACCCATGTCCCTTGGATGGAAACGCCAGAGAATTTTAACAGCATTCTTAAAATGCTTCAAAAAGAAATTACTCAGTAAAGGCGTGAACTGCTTCCCTGTTGTGTAGCACTTGCACATTCAATAATCTTCCCCGCTGATATAAACGCAATTCAAATTGAACCCACCGTTCCTTACCTGTGATAATTTTAGGGGTATCGAATGTTGCTTTTCCTAAAAGCTGTTTTTTTTTTCCGGGCACCAACGCTTCTTCATTTAACATGAAGAGAATGGAGCTATAGAATATACTTTACTTCGGATTTGATTTATGACCCATTGTCTGCAACGGAGACAGCATTGTTGGAGAGAAAAGGGATAGTAAACGGAAATGCGCTATGAAATTATATTCGCAACGCAAATAAACATAAATGTTCGCAATATTAGCCGGGTGTGCCATGCGTTTCCTTTTCACAAAAGAAATCCCATGAGATGCAAGACACCTGGAAGCGAGGAATTGCGAAAACCCCGGAAAATCCCGGCCGGATGGGGAAGAAACATCTGGAATTAAAGCGATAAGGACTTCTCATAAACAGGAAATGGCATACAGGTTTTTAAATGCTGGAAATCCTTGACGTCCCAAGTCAGTCATTCCATGGCAAGTGGCTATTAGTTTTGTTTTTGTACTTCCCTTGCTTACAGCTTTCCCTTGCTTCAAGTCTGTTGATATCACGAAGGTAAGAGTGAAAATACGGCGAGAGAAGAATTTATCGATAAAATTCATTGCATGAGACTTCGAATTCATTTCTTAATTGAAAATTGAAAATTGACAACCGGCGTTTTTCATGAATTGTTTGCATTCTCCATTCGCTGGACCTAATATGTATCACATAATTCTTTTTTTTACTTCCAGGAATAAGTGAACATTTTGGGAGAAGAGTTTGTGAAAATGAAGAACATCGCATGTATTTTTCTCATTGCTCTAATTGCATCGACGGAATGCACTTCCCGAAACGTGAGTGAATCTAGCGCCCCCACGCTAATTTTTTGATCGAATGTTGGGGTTTCAACCTCGAAAATCGGAATTTCCTATATATATATTTTAAAGGAAACGCGTATTATCGAACAGTCACAGACGATTTTGGCGCATTTGGCGACTTCTCCTGATATTAAATGCGTCTCAGCGTGCTTTCACCTGGCTGCTTCCTCCACTATGGAGTGGCCCTGTTGCCCAATTAAGCCGAACAGGCTGGTGCAGGCTCGCCTTCGAGAAAAAGTGGCACTATTTTTTCTATGTCATCGATTCATTTAAGTAGTGTGCGAGGAATTATGTTGGATATGACACTCTGCTTCTTCACTGCTGGTATTTGGTATGGTACTCTGACTACAGTCTGGAAAAATTGCGAAAAAGTTGGGGCCATGCAGCAACACATCATATTGATGCCTTCGATCAAAGAAATTGTATGAAGTAATTCAATGAACTTTCTTTCAGGCTATTCGCATTCTTATGAGAAGTCCATTTGAAGCTCAGATAATTTCTTCGGAATGTGTGCGCTCATTTTATCAACACGAAATTTCCTCTAAATGGAATGATGAAAAAATCTGTGGAAGTTTGAGGCATATTATCCATTGATACAGAATGTCCCAGTATGAACTGATCATTGGTTCTTTCGCAAAGCATATGGCCTGGGTAAGAATAGTTTCATAGGTCTCACGCATTAAGATTCGGTCGCCGAGATCTACATCAGAACGGCCTGAAAGCAACCCCCTACCTTCGATCATTTCTGAGGCATCCCGTGTATTCGACAATCGTTCGATAATTTTCCGGAGGAAACGAATGAAAACACGGACCTCTGCATCAACCACACATCTCGGAATTAACTTCTATAGGGCTGAAATCACATGAGATGAGAAAAAAAAGTCGAATGCAATATCGAAGCAGGTGATGAAAGACGCGCAACTGGACTGCAAAGGGGCAAATGACGGAAAAATCCAGCGGACTAGTACGAAACATGAAAATAGTACAAACCGGCCCTAATCGTGTTCGTGCAACATGACTGATATCAGTCGATAATGCTTTCCAACATAAGAAAATAATTCACTGTACCAAGTTACTCCATATTCTTGCACTCCTGATCGCTTCAAAATTCAATCTGCACCTTTCCTCTTTTATTCAGGTATTTTCAGGAATTCTGAAACAGCTTAATGATTGCAGCGAATTTAACTGGAAACTAAGCAATTTTCTACAAGGCTCTCGTGTTCTTCCCCTCGATAACATCAACCCTCGATCTACCAAGTTTGGGTATTGATTTTTCCTTTTTTCTCTCTTCAGAAGATCGCATTGAACTCCGCCCCTGAATCGCAAGGTGCCAACAACCTGGAGGAGATTGTATCAAAGCTTCAGGCAAAAGTGGAAGAACTCGCAAAGGACAGCGCGAAAATGGAAGAACTGGAAAGGGACAACGCGCAACTAAAGCTCGAGATAGCAGAACTGAAGCTCGACAACAAAAATCTGAAATCTCGACTGGAAAACACGGTGGAAGACAGGTTGCAGTATCTGGAGGCTGTCGCCCTGCAAATAAGTGAGATTAAAATAATTTTATGAAAGCATTAGATCAAGTATGTCAAACTGGCAGGCCAGCGGGCCGGATTCGGTTCTCTACTCAAATTTGTCCGATACGCGACGTCCTCCCCGTCAGGAGGTTTCGGAAAATCATAGCAATTTTCATCTAATTCGCATTAAAAAAACACGGCGAGATTGGTTAGTGAGGCTTCCACCCACCTCTGGAAATATACAAACCCGACCTCAACCAAATCGAGTTTGACACCATTGGGTTAATCATCATTTTTCAAGCCGTACACTTTGAGCCAAAATGTGTCAGGTTTCATCTCTTATAAGGTGCTTCAACTGCAACTCATATCTATCCCTTGTGGCTTACACATTTTGCCTTTTGTGACTAATTTTAAAAAGCATTTATAAAAAAGTATTCCTCAAATTTTTTATTATATCAAATGAATATATCTTGAGCAATATGTAACCACCCTTGCATACATATAATCACGAAGATGAATGACCATTATGTCAGGGCTCCTGTTGGGGAAGATGAACTTCTCTTTGTCTAAGATCCAGGAATATATCTCGAATATGGGATTAATAAATGAGAAAGTGTCCGCTTTTACTAATACTCGTGATGAGACAAGGCAACACACAAAACGAGGTAACATAATGCACTTGTGAGGGAGATTTCTGGGAAACATGGAAGGGGTATTCTACCTACTGTGGGAAATGATAGCTCTATGCCTCCATAGAGTGGTCTAAATGGGAAACTTAACAATGCACAAATAACCCTAGTAAATGGTGTATCATAAATCGATACTTTGTCAACTGTTTAACCTCGAAAAGGTTAAAACCTGAACTATGTTTGATAGCTTCTTATTTTCTATGAAGGACTATTATCGGCGATAAATATGCACCCTAAAAACTATATATTATTATTCATTTCATTTTCTTTCTTAACCCTCAGAAGAATATAACCTGAACCTTTGTTGCCGGCAATGTCGACTTATCCTTTCCTTTGAGAACTTAAATGCAGTATGTATGTGATGTATATGTATATGATGCCCGTGTCGTTAGCGCCCCCTACCTGTGAAACCCTTGCCGATCTGGGTGTGACGAAGACGGGAACCTATCTTGTGGATCCAGACGGTGTACTGCGAGGTGATCCACCCATACAAGTTCTCTGTGACATGGAGACAGGCAAGGCCCAGCACATATTTGCTTGAAGTAAATACGTTTTTTTTTCCTCGAAAGGCCAGTGCACCCTTGAATAACTTTATTGCGTATGGTCCTACTTAGATCCAGCATCCACTATCATTCTCCACGACTCGATGGAAAATACGGAAGTAGACCATTGCTCGGACCCTGGCTGTTACAGCCGCACCATTATTTATGAAGCATCTCTCAAACAGATGCAGGCATTGATCGACCAATCTGAGTCATGTGAGCAGGACATAAGAGTGAGTCGAATCCAACAGAATCATTCACACATTCTTATGGCTTGACAACATTATTCGCTCATAGACGAAGTTTCGATTTTTGTGGCAGGGACTATGATGGAGAGAGGGTGAATATGATGAGGGAGTGTATGGGAGGGGGGTAGGGAAGGGAAGGGAGAGGGAGGCGCAATGGTATATGGGGTAATGAAAGCAGGGGTGACCGTGGTTTATTCAACCTTGACTCAAAGGGAGGGAGGTGCGTGAGGTAACTTGTCCCAAGACAAAAAATCATAAGGGATGAAAAAACAAGAATTTAACAACATAAATTCGCTACTTCCACGAGATCCGTATCAGTTACGTCAGCAAGTCTCACATTGTCCCTTTCAATTCCAGGAGTAATGCATCATGCAAGGTTTTTATTTATTAAAAATAAATTTTGCTACACCTTGTGGAAAGGAACTATTTTTGTTTCGCTATAACAGCTTGCTTTTCTATCGCATTATATTTGAAGTAGCAAAGAACTGTATTGTGTCCGGTCCTACTTATATTACAGTATGACTGCTTTTCGACGGCTCTCTACGACGGAGAGATTCAGTATGCATGGTGGGAGGACCGCCACGGCGACCCTCAATATTACTGGGATGGCTCACATGCCGGGGAGCACATGTGTAACTGTGGTCTTACTGGTAACTGCGTCGACCCAACCTTTTCTTGCAACTGCGATGCAGAAGCCCCCCAGTGGGAATACGACGCTTGCACTATCATCAACAGAACAGCCTTGCCCATCACAGAGTTGCGATTCGGAGGGCTCCTGTTTGATGCCCAGAAGGCGAATCACACTCTAGGTGCACTGGTCTGCAAGGGACGTGCGTCGCTGGACAATCCAGCAGGATCATGCTCATCTCTTCGCCAAGCTGGACACATTCGCACCGGTTATTACCTAATCAGAACTAAAAAGGGACGGTTGGATGTCGTCCTCTGTAGGATGGACTTGGAAGACACGGATGTGGAGTTCCAGCGAGACACCGGTGCCCGCATCGTCGAGGAAGGCGTTTATTTCGATGCCTATCGCACCAGCACATGGACGAGTATAAGCACAATGCAATTCCAGGGAACCGAGGTGAACATAGGCGATGCAATGGCACCAAGCTCCGGGATTTTCACTGCACCCCTTGACGGCATTTACGCGTTCCACATCCACTTCTGGACCGACACAGAAACAACGGTAACTCTCAGGAAAAATGAAGAAACCAAAGCAGCAACGCACGCTAATGACGTTTACGGCGCGGAAGACGCCCAGACGCCTGGTCAATCTGTCCTCCTTCAACTCAGCGCGGGCGACAAGGTTACCGTCTATTTGAACGATGGAGAAGTGCTCTCAAATTCAAATCGCTACACCCATTTTGTGGGGTATTTGTTGTATCCGATGTAGGATGCCTGTTGAAATGATACACTCGGTCATGGCAATGTGCTAAGTGCCTTCAATTCCAACAGGCTTTTTTTCTCCATTAACATCCAGAAATAAAATTTAACATATAGAGTGAAAATAGACCATTCAATATGACTTACGTTTTTCAATAACTACAAGAGTTTAGCCGCTTCGTTGCCCACATCTTAATTCATGTATGGTCCAATCACGTCATGTGGCTTACGCCTGTGACGCCTGTGTTTTCCGAGTCCCTGCAGAAGTATCGAGGTCGAAACTGCTCCTACACAGGGCGTACACTATTTTGAGGACTCCGCCTTCAATACACGCTTGGATTGTTGCTTTCACCATTCCGACTTGAGTTTTTACTTCGTAAAAAGTGGCAGGATGGTAATATCTGCGTGAGGGCAGGACATTGCGTCACTCTGCTGATATAACCCACTTCAGTCAACTTTCTTAAGTCATTGATAGTTGAATAGACCACATTGATTTAAAAGTACAGTTGAATACATTTCCAGGCATTCCTCCAAAATGTCACAAGGCTAGAGATTTTATAAGGAAAACTCTGCAAATTCATTAATATGGCATAGGCTTGCTCAATTGTCACACATTTGTTGCCTATCTATTGAATATAAAGGAAAGGGCTTGCAGGAAAATCTTGAAGTATATGCCAATTTTGAACTTTCCTCAGGCTATATGATAGCAACGCCGACGTCTCAAATTCAGAACTTAATTTTACACATACTGGGGCCATAGACTAATTGATGACTAAGCTATGTAATGTAATACAGAATAGAACTGGACTTAGACATTACAGGGCGGGTGACGTTCTCAACTTAAAGTCAAAAAGGTAGATATGATTCGGACGCGTCAAAGCGGAACCGTGCCGAAGTTTAATAGCAAGATGCAGCAGGAAATACGGAGGGAAGACATGTAAACAACTGAGACGTATCATACCCATTGAGGTATAGGCGAGGGTGAATCAAAACTCGAGCTCACTGACGTAGTCACTGAAGAGCGCAAATTACACCACTACCTTGGATTCTACGCCGCATAGATCTTCGCGCAACTATTGCCTACGTCATCTGAGAGCTTTTGAAATCTTGTGTTAACCAGGTACATGTCTAGACTGGGATGAGTTGAAACCAGCGCTCCATACCCCCCCCCCTCCGGAGATAAAACTCGCGTCTAATTCCCTTCCCGTTAGGATATCCCATGAATGTCACTTCTATCATCAGAGGTCATGTGTAGGGAGAAGCAAGGATTATTAGACCTCTTGTCCTCCTTCCTTGAAATACAAAATAAGTGATACCTTTAACGGAATTGGTTTGAATCAAACGGTTCAGAGGCAATCATTGGGAAGATGGATCGAGGGAAAGAACGATGAAGAAAAGTATGCACTCTTTGCCCCAATGTACAGGTGGAAGCATAATAAAATCACAATGGCATTATACAGTAAAGAGCCGCGCATAAAATGCAATACATGGAAAGGAAATGGATGCAATGCACAATAGAGAATCCAAGAAAAAGAACCTGATGAGAGAAAAAAATAAGGAAAAAAGAACAGAAGGGTACATGAAATGGACCAGGAATTCTGAACTTTTCCCGCGCCGGTACAGAAAATAGGAAAGAAAACTCTCGATACTGGTACCCAATGTCTTCCTAAGAAATGGATTCCAAGAAGCATGACTGTATTCCTGGAGAGAGTTTCCCCCAACTCCTGCAGTCAAGGAATTTGAGTGTTGAAACACCATCACCGCCTCTGATGCAAACTGGAATATGGCCCAAATCGCCGGCGTCCTTCAGTGGCTGTACACCTACCCTTTCCTGAAAGTCATACATATCTCTTTCATGCGTGATATATCTATATATCATTATGACGAAAGGGAAAGTGAGATGCCAATAAGAGCAATACCGAATTGTTCGTCAGTTGTGTTGCTCCTCAACTGGCGCCTCACGTCGGTGAATGTGAATCCCCACAGGAGCAGGGATTCACGTGATACTGAAGAAACACTCGTGTCTCCAATCATGGGTTTCCAGGAACCGTGGTAAGTCCCCACATACCAATGGATCTCCACTTTGTCTCCGTCAGCAGTCTTTACTTCTCCCACTCATGGACGAGATGCTCTGTCTTCCGTATAAACTGCGGCTAGCATTCCTATAAATAATATATGTCTTCAAGTCACTCAGGCCAGCATAATCATAATTTCTCAAACTTAAGAATTTTAGTAAAATTTCAAGCTAATTGCTGTCATTGTACATTTGCCAGTCCAAATTTGCAAATACATGTAAACGATACAGCAATTCTATTTTTTTTAAAAGGAAATATATTTACTTATTCTTTTTCAGTGAGCCATTTTTTCGTCAGTCTCTTGGAACAGCCGTCTCAGTTCTTCTCTTGTGTTGCTCCTCAACTGGCGCCTCACTTCGGTGAATGTGAGGAGAATCCCACAGGAGCAGGGATTCACGTGGTGCTGAAGAAACACTCGTGTCTCCAATCATGGGTTTCCAGGAACCGCGGTAAGTCCCCACATACCAATGGATCTCCACTTTGTCTCCGTCAGCAGCCTTTACTTCTTCCACCCATGGACGAGATGCTCTGTCTTCCGTATAAACTGCGGCTAGCATTCCTGCAGAGATACCCTCGGTTCCAGAGAACATTCCCTGCCGCCTGGTTCCCGCTGGTCCAATGATAGGCTGAATGGAAGAAATCGTATCGCGATGAAATAACAAGTTACATCTTCGTTAGTTGTTACCTAAATTCGTTAATGGTAACGATTTTTTATTTTTAAAAGCTAATAGAGTTTCATCCCGTCGCATTCAAAAGCGACAACGTCATGGTATGTCCGATTGAGAAATCGATCATGGGTCCAGTGGCGTAGCTATCGAGTGAGCAGGCAAGCGGCTAGCATTCCTGCAGAGATACCCTCAGTTCCAGAGAACATTCCTTGCCGCCTGGTTCCCACTGGTCCAACGATAGGCTGAATGGAAGAAATCATATCGTGATGAATTAACAAGTTATATCTTCCTTAGTTGTTACCTAAATTCGTTAATGGAAACGATTCTTTTTTTTTAAAGCTAATAGAGTTTCATCCCGTCGCATTCTGAAGCGACAACGTCATGGTATGCCCGATTGAGAAATCGATAATGGGTCCAGTGGCGTAGCTATCGAGTGAGCAGGCAGTGCAATTGCACCTGGGCCCAAGGGCAGGGCTAAGAAAAGGAGGGGAAAGGCGGGGAGCGAGCGCTGGCGATTGGCAAAGGCCAATGGGGGAAGAAATTATTATTCGTCCGCCCCCTCCCCCCCCTTCCCAGATGAACGCATGCCCGCAACAAAACCGCGTTCCATATTATTGTTTAAATGATAGAAGAGAAGGTATCTTTAAGTCAAGTTTTCTCCTGACTTCTTCTTCTCCTGAAATTTATTGACCCGAACTGTAAGGGACCGAGTAAATCGTTTCGAGTTATCCGAAGTTAAAAAAAAAAAAACAACTCCGAAAAAGAGACATAACCAGAGGGTAATTTTTCCGTTCTCATGAATGGGCGAGTGAAGCGGGAACAGCATTTTCATTGGCTTTTTTTTCCTTTGCAGGAAATTTCCATACGTTATATATGCAAAATTCATTCATGAAAAGTCCCTTCAAAAATTCGTTGGTTGTATCCTTAGCTCACATGAAATTAATAATTCTCTTAATCACTCTCATACATGGGCCCACTCAAATGAATTTTGATGACAATGATGGAGGCCTCGATGACTGGTTCCGTCAATGCGGCAACTCTTTACCCCTATTATTTAAAAAAGGGCCCAAGTCCCAAAAATGATTATTTTCCTCCTTCACTACCGCAATTAGGGATAACTTCAAGTTAACCATTAGAAAATCGTTAATCAGGAATGAAAATGCGGTTCAAGATATTCGGAAATGCGAGATTAGCGAATTCTACTTAAACGGAGCATTTAACATGGTGTCCTACGGGATGCCACCAGAACAAGCACTGAACTATAAACATAAACATATAAGATAAACAAGAAATACATCAGAGGAATTTCGTTTCATCATGGTTGAGTTGGCGAGTTTGCACTGTGCTTCAAATAAGTGAAAGTATTTCTTAATACATGTATGACTCACCTAAATAGGGCGAACGGGATGATTACAGTGCAGATCTGTCCGGGGAACTGAAAAAAACAAGTCTCCTGAAATGCTGTCATGCTCAGATTATTAGAAAGAGAAAACAAAACGACACAGGAAGAAAGGCAGATAAAGAGCTAGAAAAGGAAATTGGGAGAACAGGGGACACAAAGACACAGATATCTTTTTTTATATATTTTCCTTTTTGGTGATAAGTTGTGAGGAAGCCAAAAAGTAAGGAAGTCTATGCAGTAGCAACGACAGAGACAGAGTGGTTCCTATTAATGATTTTATCTCTTCCTTATTTCATGACTGTTCGATAAAGAAGAGAGGGATAGACGGCAGAGAAACAGAAGGTGAAAGATCAGGGAGGCTGCTCGATATGCTGGCTGGATAGGATGCTCGAGGCAGCGCTGAGGATGGAAAGAAGAAGGAAAGGAAAGAAGAGGTTATGCCTGTACTCTTGAAGACACGTCGTTGGTGATCAGTGATCTGGCATATTGAATTCACGTTACTCAATTTAAAATTGGGATTTCCTGTGTGTAATTCCTATATTCGAGTTAACATTCTCTAAATGCGCTTGAAGTTCTTCTGTTACTGATGTTAATGACGGCTCGAACTGTTTTACTACATCTGGTCTACATGTTTGACCGTGCTTGAAAAATGCTTAAACTAATTTTCCTCATGGCAAGATGGAATTCTGATGCTCGACACAACCCCATCATGTAGATATTTTGGTGAAATTCTTAATGGAGTAGCCTGGTGAGAGTCTTGAGTACAATAGCATTCAATAGTGAAACTTCAAAATGAAATTTAGGTTTCAATCAAGTTGATCTCCCAGGCTTGTTAGCGTAGTGTGTTAGTCGGTTGTTACAGAATTTCGATTTTTCCCCCACTCATTAGCTTACTGCTCCACTTCAGTCTGCTTCGTTTGTTGAGCCTGTTTAGTCCTCAAATTAAAATAAATTGGCGTCTAAGTATGTAAATAATATACCTGTA